CAGTAAGACGACAAGCACCACTGCTTGTGTACACTCACCAGAATTTGAACCCCAGATCTTTGGCTCCACCGGCAAAGCGCAATTAAATAACAGTCTGGAAGCCCCAAAACACTTATATAAAACCAGACGAACCTCAAATATCACAGAAACGAAAAATCCAGGACGTTATTATTTGACAACGTCGGGTGGAAGAAAGACGAATATCGCTATTCGTCCTTTTCCCATAAAAAGCTAATTAAAACTTCATCAATCTGTTCTGAAAGAATGACTTTTGTCTTCTCAAACAAAAGTTTGTTAATATTTCCGAACAAAATTTTAACTACAAGCGCATAATAGCACCATCCTTCGTCCTGCCAAAAGTCAAGTTAAAAATAAAATAAAAAACCAACTTTTTAAACGTGAGATGAATAAATTTCATTTTTTGGCCCTCCTGGAAAATGGGTACTTCGCGATGTTCGTCCTTTTTCCCCAAGGCGGCAAATTTGCCTTCCTTACCTGTCCTTTTTTACTTTACTCTTTTTTATTTGTTGTATTTTACTCACAAGTAACACCTTCATGACCATAATTGACGCCTATATTACTTATTTGTGTTACAAGTGTCTTAAAACTATTACTAAAACTAAACTAAAACAAGTAATTCCATAACAATAATAAGATTAAGCTGCCCCCCCCCCCTTCATTTCTTTCCTTAAAAGAGAAAAGAAAAATAGAAGCACCTGTCAAAGGACTGCACTAAGACTCAGACAATGAATAACGTTTCTAAAAGCTACAGTATAATCCAATAAATGTTGTAAGAGAAGGAAGACTATATAAAAAGGATTAAAGGATACACACAAAACACTCATCTATTTCAGACACAATAAAAGCCACAATATATAATCCTAATGAGGTCCCCTTTAAAACTCTATTGTAGAAGACAGCTATGCTGCTGCTTAGAATGCCATCTCCTGAGCTCCTTTAGAGTGGGGTTCACACCGATAAAGATCTGCATAAAGTGGGGTGGCAGTGTCAATCCAACGTCAAACGGTAACTCATAGCAGTGTAAATGCGGAACCGGCAACCAAACGGGGAACCATCTGCTACAAACCTGCCAAATGCTCATGGCACTTAGAAGGAAGTCTTGGCCCAACCCTTTGCTAGTCTAAAATTACAAACTTCTAATTTGCTCAGTATCTAGTTTTGAGAAATTTGACGTCAAAGATTTTGCGTTTCACATCATGACAAGCTTTTTCGAATGCAATTCTTTGAATATGTTCATACATATAACGACTCCGAATATACTTACGATTTTGATGGAGAAGATAAAACATTAAGGTTTCTGACCTCATGGTCTTAGACACTCAAGACGGCTACAAATGTCAGATAGAACTTTGTAATTCTGAGGTAGCGCCTCGGCAGAGGGGGACGGACCTGCGGCGAACAGCAGCTTTCACACGAGAAACTAGGATGTCCATTTAGAGATGAAACGAGAAGACGATCCAGTGTCAACAGTGAAATCTGCTTGGCACCATGGGACACGATCACCCTGTAACCCTATTCTTACGTCGTGTTTTACTATCGTATCTTATACGACGTGGGGATGTCTGTGCCACAACTTTCCAAAGAGGAAATTCACTCGTTAATCCGATCCGTACGCTTTGCATAGCAGTCTCTCAAATTGATTTTTTGAGAAATACTGAAAGTTTCAAAGAGATCTTCGCACTAGAAGTATTCTAAAAAAGTGAAGAATACAACCCCAGGGATACGAAATGACCCCAGGACGTACGGATAGGGTTAAACATTAGCTGTGATTGTTATTTGGGTCAAATTGAATTCGACATAAGAGGAAAGGACTACCAACGAATGTGGTGTAGTGGTCAGGCTCGACGCCGTCGCACTCAGAGGCGTGAGTTCGATTCTCGTGTAAGGAGAAGTTTTTTTCAAGTGTCTCCGATCTTTCTCTTGGGATGTTGTATCCTTCTCAGCTTGCGTTGCTGCACCCCTTAAATGCCCTAAACTGTGTCGATGAAGGCGTAAAAAACATCTGTATTTATATTTTAAAGAAGACTTTCAACATAGCAACATTTCGCACGCAGTGTTTGGGAACGGTTAAGTTTCATTACATTAATAATTATTGTAGGATTAGAAGAAAAAAACAACCCTCAAACACACACGCAAAAAACATGTCGCCAAAGAAATTCTACGCGGTCATTGTAATGGCCAAAGTACATGTATACCGTTGAGAATTTATTATTTACAAGTGCACATAGGCCACAGACCGGACAGACTCTCAGACCAGATTCGATTACGCAGAGCATCTTGTTGATTGAGTTAGTGTACACCTTACTTAACACCTGAGACGATCCGAGCTAGCTAACATTTTTTGCCTTCCTTTAATTATTATTTCAGGGCGGAACCAGGATTATTGGAGGAGTCGTGGTGGACTGAGGAGAGAGAGAGAAAGAGAGAGAGAGAGAGAGAGAGAGAGAGAGAGGGGGGGGGGAGGGGGGGAAAGGGAGATAGATCGATAGATCGATAGATAGCGAGAGAGAGAGGGAGAGAGAGTGAGAGAGAGAGAGAAAGAGAGAGAGAAAGAGAGAGAGAAAGAGAGAAAGAGAGAGAAGCAGACAAACAGGCAGAGAGCGAGAGAGTGACTGAAGGACAGACAGGCGGACAGACGGAACTAGATAGAGAAACACACACACACACACACACACACACACACACACACACACACACACACACACACACACACAATCATGCAAAGAGAGAGAGAGAGAGAGAGAGAGAGGGAGAGAGAGAGAGAGAGAGAGAGAGAGAGAGAGAGAGAGAGAGAGAGAGAGAGAGAGAGAGAGCAGTGCTGCAGGGCAGGTCATCTTAACACCTGAGACAACATCAAAGGGCCGCTATCAAGCTGCAGACGAGATGGGTAATCTTGCCACGGACACAACAGACGATAAAACAAGGCGCGCATGGAATTTTTCTTTTTTCGTTTTAAAAAATTGTGTTTTGTTTGGAGTTTTTGACGCCCGCTGGTGAATAAGAATTCTAGAATGATTTATAGCAACGTCCATGTTTAAAGTCAGGCTTGTTATCTCGACTGCATGTTGTGTCTAAGTGGGGTTTATAAACTCGCGACTTCTCTGAGTGTTGATAAGAAGGTAGCGGGAGAATATTTGTTTCAACAGTATCCAGGAGCTGCTGTGGCGTTTTACATTGACTATTCGGTTTCACGGGTTTGGCTTTTATGATAATCTGCACTCTGATACACTTTGAACCTGCGCTCAACTGACACTCGATACACTGCGTCCCTGTACTGAATAACAGGTTAAAGCGTTTTTCCCCCCTTTTTTTCAGAGCATACATCAAAAGGAAGCCTATAAGCCTTTCAGCACGGAATAAAGCTCTGTAATGCCATTTGGAGCTAGGAAGTTTCATTTGCTTCAATGAGGCAGATAAGAACATAAAAGGTATTGTCACAGAACACAAAGACAGTTCGCACTCCAAGCAATATGCCAGGCAAAAACGATACTGCTTTAAAAGGTAAATTGACTTGCCTTTTTTAATCTAAAAAAATGATGCATTTAGTGTTAGTTATAACTGTTTTTGTTTGTTGATAAACCTTTCCGTTGCAGAATCAAACACCAAATGAAATAAGCATAAGCGTAGGGAGGAAGTTGGGGGAGGGGGGGGGGGCGTTGCTGAAGGTGATAATGCTTTTAATGCTGATGTTTACAGAATTAATTTGTGCTTAGGCTCAAACTCCCATCAGCATCTGTCTGATACATTTAGAAAACGAACGTACGATTTCAGCATTCCTTGACGTCGATTGGGTGAATCACTCAACTCTTATTTTGCCTGCCGTCCCGGCTAATCTTGTCCCCAGCGCTCACGCGTAAACTTGTCCGATTGGCTGGTCTTGTTGCTCCAAAAACGTTTAAAAATTTGTTTTTTAAGTCTAAGTAAGTGTTTATTCAGTGTTTAAGGTCATTGACCCACACCGCATAAAACACAGAGAAAAGACTTCTTTGACAACAGCATAAATCATAATTGACATGTTAAATTGGTGTTGTTGAATAAGTAATAAAACAGTAGATTGCCCTATCAGGCATGGCATTGGCAACCAACTGGAAAGAGAAAGCGGGGAAGACCAATTGCTATAGAGGCACAATAAGAGATGAAGCAATCATCCAGGGCTTAGATGTGTCGAAATCGGAGAAAGTGGCTCGGGACAGACCAGCGTGGCGTCGACTGCTCTCCGCCTCATGTACATGACGTTATAGGGAGAGAGTAAGTAAGTAAGTAAGTAAGTAAGTAAGTAAGTAAGTAAGTAAGTAAGTAAGTGTGGTGTAGACGCACCTTAAGAATAGAAGAACATGTAGTGTGAACACACCTTAATAATAATTATTATGGCGTAGGCCTAAGGGACGTATCACGTGACTGTGATTTCGTGCAAGCGGCGGGAAATCTGAAGGTCCCTCTCTCACTGAAGCCAAAGCGAGTAACATTGGTTAACGAAGAACTAGCAGATGACGGCAGGTGCCCCCCCCCCCCCAAAATCAACTATCATCTAGATCTACTACTCCAAGACTCAAGTAAGTCGTAACATAACATGGTGTCAGAAGTGCGCAGAGATACGGACAGTACGAATCCAAGTGCAAATATTGAAATCGGAATGTAGACTCTAGATTAGATCTGTAGATTAGACACAGATCGAGACTCATCAAGTGAAATTTTCTACTAGAAACTAGTCTGTAGGCCTATGACGCTAAATCTAGTCGCCTGAATCCAAACCCATTGAAACTAGTCAACCAAGCCTCAATATGGAAGGGGCAAAGTCCAGATTTCATGCTCAAATACAGCGCCTCAAAAATTAAATATTAGCGAGAAAAGTGCTTTGCAATCAAACTGGAGAAAGTTTTTCGAGGGCATGGAAGAATTATGAGATTGCTTCAAACTTGATCAAAGAGTCAAAACAGTTTAGGTGTGCAGTCTTATTGACAGTTATAGGGGAAGAGGCGATGGACAAATTTGATGGATTTAAGTTTAGTTCCAAAGAGGAACAGGATGATATCGATACAGTACTCAAGAGGTTTGAGGAATTTTGCATGGGAACAACTCATGAGGCATTCGAGTCATACCACTTTCATGTCAGAGTACAAGAACCGAATGAATCCATTGATGCCTATGTTGCGGAGCTAAGAAAATTGACCAGAGTGTGCAACTTTGAAGCATTTGAAGATCGCATGATTCGGGACAGAATTTTAGTTGGCTGCAAGACTGACCACGTGAGAGAAAAGTTGTTGGAAGACCCCAAGTTAGATCTAAAGAAGGCAATAGACATAGCTAGAGCCTATGGGGCTAGTCAAGTCAAGCTAAATGAAATGAAAGAATTAGCAGTTGACAGAGTTATGTCAAAAGACAGAAAGAAATTGTTTCCAGAAGAAAAGAAGCAGTTTTCAAGTGATAAGAGGTCACAATATCCAAAGGATAGAAAACAACAGTCTTCAAAAAGGAAATGCACAAGGTGTGGATATGATTCACATAGAAATAACCAAGATTGTCCAGAATTAAGAGCAGAATGCAACAAATGCAAAAAGATAGGACATTATGCTTCACAGTGCAGAACAAAAACAGTGAGACGAGTAGAAGAATCAGACTGTGATGATAATACCACAAGAACCATCCTGGGTTCAATACACGAAATAAATTCGGTGAATAACTGGCACACAGGAGCTGATGTGTCTGTGGTCTCAGACAAAAATTTAGAGACACAAAAGTGCTAAAGCAAATTGACAAGAAACTCTATGGAGGGTCAAAACTAGATGTAATCGGTGTATTCACGGCAACCCTGAAAAAGAACAGTTGTAAGTCAGAACAAGACTTATACGTTATCAAGGGACTCAGAAAACCGCCGTTAGGCAGACCTGCCAATCATTGAAGCACTTAAAGTGGTGGAAGTTGTAAATGGATTGTCAGAAGCTAAGTTTGACCCAAAACTTAAGTATGCTGATCTTTTCCAAGGCTTAGGAAAAACAAGCAATGAATATACTATTGAGTTGAAAGACAATGCAAAGCCATTTAACCTTACCTGCCCTAGAAGGCTGCCTCTTCCACTAAAAGATAAAGTTGAAAAAGAACTAAAATCTCTACAGGAACAAGGAATCATCAGACCTGTTACCAAACCTATTGATTGGTGTGTTCCTATAGTAGCTGTTCTCAAGCCATCAGGAAAAGTCAGGCTATGTTGTGATTACACTAAACTAAATGAGAGTGTTTAAAGAGAGAATTACCCTCTTTCTACTACTGACCAGTTATTGGCACAGTTGAATGGAGCTACAGTTTTCAGCAAGCTGGATTGTATTAAATCATTTCATCAAATTCCTCCAGACGAAAGGTCTCAAGAGTTAACTACTTTTATTACGCATTTTGGGAGATTTTGTTACCAAAGACTGCCCTTTGGGATCAATTCTGGTCCTGAAATATTCCATAGAGAAATGTCAAACATCGTGGAAGGAATACCAGGTGTGATATGTGATATTGATGATGTTCTTGTAGGAGGAAGAGATAAAAAAAAAGAACACGACGAAAGACTGAAGTTGGTATTGGATCGGATGAACAAAGCTGGACTTACACTAAATGAAAAGTGCGAGTTTTCAACAAAGAAAGTGAAATTTCTTGGACATATTATTATTGTCAGTGCAAACGGTGTCAGCATTGACCCAGAGAAAGTCGAGGACATTACCAGGCTTGAGGTACCAGAAAATGTCCAAGAGCTAAAATGATTTTTGGGAATGGTAAACCATGTCGGCAAATTTGCACCTATGCTGGCAGATGTGACAAAACCTCTGAGAGACCTGCTTAAGAAAGACAGCGAATGGACATGGGGGACAGAAGAAGTGAAAGCTTTTGAAGAAGTTAAGTATTTAGTTCTACACCAGTACTGCAACATTACAACCCAAACAAGCCAATAAAAGTGTCTGCAGATGCGTCTTCTTTTGGAATTGGAGGAGTTCTGCTGCAGAAAGACCAGGAAGGCAGGAAGCCAGTTTTCTACTCATCTAGATCTCTCACGGACACCGAGACTAGGTATGCACAGATTGAAAAGGAAGCTTTGGCTATGACATGGTGTTGTGAACAATTTTCAGAATATTTAGTGGGTCTCCCTAAGTTTGTAATCGAGACAGACCACAAACCATTACTGTCGCTGATGAAAGCAAAAGACTTGGATTTCCTTACTCCAAGAATACAGAGATTCAGGATGAGGATGTTGAGATTTACTTACGACATTGAATATGTTGCTGGCAAGGACCTAGTTACGGCAGACTCGTTATCCAGGTCTCCTTTGAAAAACAATAAAGCAGAAGAGGAAACAGTTGAAGTCAGTACAATATTTCAGTCGATCCCCATATCAGATGAAAGACTAGAGGAAGTTCGACGTGCACAGCAAAGGGACAAGGAATGCCGAGAGGTGATTCAATTCACTCAGGGCCATTGGCCTCAAAGGACGCATGGAATATTAAAATTATACTATGCAGAGCGTCATTGTTTGGCGGTGGAGCAAGATATTCTCTTGCACGGATGCAGGTTAGCCATTCCATCTTCACTGAGGCAAGACATGCTCCAGAGAATCCACCAGGGGCATCAAGGTATAGTCAAGTGTAGGGCTTTAGCATGCACCTGTATTTGGTGGCCTGGGATGTCTAAGGGTATTGAAACCCTAGTGAATAACTGCCCTGAGTGTGAAAAACACATAGTATTGCCTCCTCAACCGCTAGTACCAACTCCAACTCCAGATCACCCTTGGAAAAAAGTGGGAAGTGACCTGTTTGAATGGCAGGGAGAACATTATCTGCTGGTGGTGGATTATTATTCCAGATGGATTGAGATTCCACACCTTAGTTCTCTTACTTCCAAGAGTGTTATCAACAGTTTCAAGGCTATCTTTGCAAGAATGGGTATTCCCAGGACAGTGCTTACTGACAATGGGACGTAATATACTTCAGCAGAGTTTTGTAACTTCGCTTCCTATTGTGGATTCAAACATGTTACAAGTAGCCCTCATCATCAGTCGGCTAATGGAGAAGCAGAGAGAGAGAGAGAGAGAGAGAGAGAGAGAGAGAGAGAGAGAGAGAGAGAGCAGTTCAAACAATTAAAAACATGCTCAAGAAAGAACAGGACCCTTTTCTGGCCCTTGTAAATTACAGAGCCACACCTTTGGCCCAGGGACAGAGTCCAGCTGAACTGCTGATGAACCGGAAACTAAGAACTAGAGTACCATCCTTGCAGGAAAGACAGAACGATACGAAATTCCGGAGGAAAGATGCTACTATGAAAAGAAAAATCAAGGAGAATTTTGATAGAAGGCATAAAGTGAAAAATCTACCAGAGTTAAAATCAGGACAGTCGGTTTGGCTTAAGACTCCGAGGCTGGAGGAAGCAAAAGTAATTCCAAGATCTGTATACGTCCAAACTTCTTCTGGACATGTTACACGGAGGAACCGACAACAGGTTAGAAAAAGATCGGATTAACGTCTGTCTATACCTCCTACTATACCCAGAAATAGTAAAAATTTACCAACGTTAGGGCAACCTCAAACTGAGTCAGGGATAATTCAAATTGATCCTGCAAGTAGCCTTTCCAATGAGACGGAGACAAGGCCAGTTGTTACTAGAAGTGGAAGACTGGTCAAGCCGAGAGAGGTACTGGATTTATAGTACTCTCTCTTCCTAGTGTAAATATCAGATGATGTATATAGTGTTTTGTTCCTGGGAGGAAAACTAATTTGTTATAGTTTTCGCCCTAAGAGTTGATTTTGTTATTTGGGGCTTTGGCCCTTTCAAGTTATTTCCTCATATTATAAAGAGGGGGAGATGTGGTGTAAACGCACCTTAAGAATAGAAGGACATGTAGTGTGAACACACCTTAATAATAATTATTTTGACGTAGGCCTAAGGGACGTATCACGTGACTGTGATTTCGTGCAAGCGGCGGGAAATCTGAAGGTCACTCTCTCATTGAAGCCGAAGCGAGTAACATCGGCTAACGAAGAACTAGCAGACGACCGGCAGGTGGGGCCCTACCAACATCAACTATCAACTAGATCTACTACTCCAAGACTCAAGTAAGTCGTAACATAACAGTAAGTAAGTAATAAAACCGTGCAGGTTGTGCACATACTTTTTCGCTTGGGTTAAACATCGCATATTTTTGTCACTGGGTCGAGTCAGGATGGGGAGGAGGATGGGAGAGGGTAGCAATTTTTTTTTGATGGACAAAGGTCGGGAAAAAAAAATAAAAAATAAAATTCATCTTCAATTTAATGAGAGCGACACCTCTCACATAAAGGTGAACTGATTAATTTTAGCATTCTGTGACGTCGACAGGATCAATAACTCAACCCCTAGTTGCTGCAATCCCGGCTAATCTTGTCCCCAGCGCTCACGCGTAAACTTGTCCGATTGGCTGGCCTTGTTATTCTAAAAGAATTCTTTACTAGTTTTAAGTGTAAGTAAGGGTTTATTCAGTGTTTGAGGCCATTAACCCACATCCCATAAAACACACATACACACTTTATTATAGAAAAGACTTCCACGACAATAGCTTAAATCATAAACGACAGATGAGTACAGGTCAAGAACATTTTGAATTCGTGATATGTTAATAAAAAAAGGTTCCGTAATTAAACAGTGCACGTTGTTCACATATCTCTTCTTCGCACGGGTCAAACAATGTATATTTCTGTCACTGGGTCGATCAAGGCTGGGTTTTTTTGGGGGGTGGG